ATCGTGTGGGAATTAAACAGTTCTCTTTCCATCTTCTATTCAGTGCCATGAAGCAGTGGCCACTTGGCAACAAAGAGGGGGATGGGGGGGGCAAACACCATCTTTACTTTCTTACTAGTGTATTCTATTTCATACAGAGTAGTGATAATTTTACTCAAGATTCTAATTAATAATTTAGGCCTGATTTTGTGTGTGTGTGTGTGTGTGTGTGTGTGTGTGTGTGTGTGTGTGTGTGAGTGTGTGTGTGTGTGTGTATACACAAATGACTGGCAGCCACTTGTGGTGCCGTGCAAATATGATTTTTCCGAAGGCCTTCACAATCTCGAGTGCTGGCCTTGACCACACACCCTCTGTCAAAATTGCTCATTCTCCTTTGAGCCAATTAGATTTTTACATTCACTACTCGGGGTCTTCTACAAGGCAGGATGATGAGTGAATTCCTACCTCCTCTAAGTGGTTCAACGATGTTTCGCTTCCAATTTGTTTAGCTCAAAGTGCATCAAAGCTTGATTTACGATGGAGGACAAGAAACATATCACCTCACACTCTCTCGACCGGAGTCATACCATATCTTATCAAATCGTTATCCCATTGAATTGAACAAAATTGAATTGTTCCTCGAATTGTATCCCACTCATAGTATAGCGATACGTATCATTTCATCTTTGAGAGATGCACACCCCTAGTTGTTCACCTGGTTTTGTCTTGAGAGCTGTCCAATTAATTCCTTATTTTTAGTTTTTGTTGCTAACGGGAGGTAAATAATCCAGTCAAGGAACCCGTGGCCGCTGGGTATCCCCGACGACACTGGGGGGCTGCGAGTCCGAGCGTGCATAGCAACACCATGGCAAAGGCACTCGGTCAGACATCACTTTTTTTAAGATACCTGAACATGAAAATATTTTTTTTCCTCTTTTTTGTAACAGCAACTTCTACCATTCAATGACTACCTATAACAAAGAGGGCCAGATTTGGTATGGTGAAAATGTGAGGGGGCTGACCAGTTTTAATTACTTGAAGTGTTCACTGCGTTCGTTTCCACTTCCCAGTCATCTTGTCGTTTGCATGTTTTATCAGGTAGTTCCTTTTGCTATTAAATTCCTTGAAAATAGCCACAGTCTCTTGGCAAATTAGTATTACACACAATGCTCATTTCCACTTGCCCCCTTTCTACCAACTTTTCTTTTCTTCGTGTCTCCATTTTACAAATGGACTGGAAAGGGTCACACAAGGGTCATGCAGCAAGAGGTGTGTTCGTAAATTCACTGTGACGCCTAACAAAACTGTGTGAGAGAATGTTGTGTTCGGATCACGCTCAGAGTATTTCCGAACGCCCCCGAAAGCTAAGCCACAGGTTTCCTGCCATCTCCTGGTGAAATGGAAAATAATTTTGTTTTTGTTTTTTGGTTTTTTTTTGTACTTTTACAATACAATAGGATTGCACGACTGTCCGTGTTTTATGTTATGTGTTTTATTTATTATTTTTACTTTATGTTCACTGTTTTGTTCAGTGTTTTGTTACAGCTGCAGCTGTTGTGAAAGTGCTTTATAAATCAGGATGTATTTTGTACTTTTCTACTATGCCCAAGAGTGCTGACGAGCCACGCATGATTGATTCCATGCCAGAGGCTGCGGGCCAGTCGAAATTTAAACATGGCTCACAATTGGCCCCTACACCGGACTTTGGATATGGGTGGTTTATAACTTTATTTCAGATTTTTTTCCTACATTCACCAAGAATCAACTCATTGGAAAAAATACAATAGAATGCTTTATATAAATACATTCACCTAATGTGGAACACAATTGAGGTTAGCAGGTTGGTGTGGCCCTCGATAACCGTTCCGGTTTCTCACATGGCCCCTTTGTATAATTAATTGCCCACTTTTGGCATTGAGGGATCACAGCTGAGGTGGCAGGGCATCTGCATGGAAGGTTAGGTGTTACCGTGAAGGATGTAAGGCATCTGCGGAAACATTTATCGTGTTCACACTCCAAATGAAGTTATTTCTTTGTTTTGTTGGTGTGGATGGGTCTAAATTTGTTGAATTGCTTTCTTGTCGCTGACCTAATGGAAAGTGTCGGTTGTTATCAGCATAAAGCAAAGCAACGGTCATTAAATGGTGCCACCGAGAGAAAGACAAGGAAAAGAAGAAAGTCGTGGCTTAATTAGCGGTGACAGCAAAGGTGTAAGATTTAAATTCAGGCCTTTAATGTTCCTCTTTTATCGCTCCTGCCAGGAGAAGTCTCTGACCGTCTCCTAATTAATACACATGCCGTTCTCTGTGCATACTCACCTACTCCTTGGAAACTCATACGCAAGGCAAGACATACTCGCACACGCATACACACACAAATGTACACGGAGAGTCCACTCGGCATCTGCCTCACACATCCCCGCTTCGCCATAAATCAGTCAGTGATCTGTGCCATCTGCAGGCAGCCATTAAAGTATATCGTGTGTCCTTTCATTGTGAAAGTAAATTTGATACTACTTGCTTTTTAATCACTCTGATCCTGTTAAGGTTCACCTCAAGTTCAGCAGCTGTCGAAGACATGCATTTGTAATTCTTACGTGTCTTTCCCTCGGTTTCAAGATGAATCTGCATCCCACTGTAATAATTAAAGGGACGCAAGAAAACTGACAAAAGGTTTCCATCAGTTGATTAAAAAGAACAATGCACGAAATATTAAAATGTCAACAACAAAGAAAAAGAAATGAAAAATAATGGATGAAAGAAGAACAAGTGTGCCTTTTAAACTATTCGCAATGCCAGATTTTCACCGGTCACGAAACACAGCCCAAACACAGTCTGTATAAGGCAGTGGTTCTTAACCTGGGTTCGATCGAACCCCAGGGATTCGGTGAATTGGTCTCAAGGGGTTCGACAGAGCCTCTGCCATGGAGGTTAAGACACACCTGACTCAACATGTCAATTAGTTATGATACGCCCGCTAAGCCATCACTGGCTGCAGATGATCACATGACATTGCTTGTCCAATCAGTGCTGCAAGAAATTTAGTTCGCTCAGGAGTCAACGTGTGACTGCCGTCCGTGATAGTACGTCATACAATTTTTAAAAAACTTATACTTGTGTCTTGAAATTTTATTTACTTTTTTCGGCTTTTAATAAATGCATTTCTTATGTCTTGAATTTGAAAAAGTCATATTCTTGTTTTTTACTAATGAAGGCTTCGGTGAATGTGCATATGAACTGGTTGGGTTCGGTACCTCTCACAAGGTTAAGAACCACTGGTATAAGGGCTGCAATTAATGATTATTTCAATATCTATGCAATTAAATGATGAATCGGACTTAAAAAAAAAAAAAAACACACACTTCTAACTTCTCATCCCTTTATGAACCCCCTCCCCCCAAAAAACTGGACATTATTTCAAATTGACAGGGCACAGAAGTGCATAAACCGGATGTTGCGTGAACATCTCAGTACTCTTAGAAAGAGAGAGGGTTTTGTTTTTTTTTTTGTGTGTGTGTGAAGTGCTGCAATCGCCTGACTTTGGTGCAAACAGTATAGGCTCAGGTTCCACTTGGTGACAAATGTGAGTCTGATGGGTTCTCTGTCTCTCTATGTGCCCTGTGATTGGCTGGCGGCCATTTCAGGATGTAGTTCGCCTTTTTCCCTGCAACCCTGAATAGGATCATCGGTGTTGAGAATGGACTGATGAAAGAGGAAAACCCCTGAATGAGTATAAATTTCTCAAAACAACTCTGAACAAGACTGATTTATAGTCAAACCTAAGATGAACCTGTTATGACTCTGACAATTTGCACCATGGTTAGAATCTTATTTCCATTGCTAATTGATTGTCCCCGCAACCCTTGTGAGCATAAGTGGATCAGAAAATGGATGGATGGTTTTTCAAATGTTGTGTGTGTTTTTAGTGCCTTTAATTTTCCTACAAAGTTACACAGGTTAAGACAAAGTCGATGTTCTCCCTGTAGTATGTGTAAACTCTTGAGACGTCACACTCACTGTAATTACAGAAAGATTGCAAACTCAGGAAAAGCAATGCCTACAGTATGTGTGTCATCATGACTTTTTCCTAGTCCACACATGCTGGCATTTTCAACTGTGTAATTTGGATCTGGCTCATTTCGCCAGAATGAAGCTCTTTTACTTCCAGTTCTTTTTTCCAGTATTTTTTCATTCTGTATATTGTGTGTATGTGCCACCTGTCCCTCCTGACATTGCGGACTGTCTCGTAAAACAACGGCAGTATACTGAAACCTTGCGGGGCCTGTCGATCCATTCCTGCTGCAGCAACACTACATGAGGTTGTGCTAACCTCGTTTTGTCAGTCTAATACAATACATGCACTTTTTACATTGTTATGGTTCGCATGAATGTGAGTTGGAAACGGGTAATAGACACAATCACATACCAGTCTCTGTGTAATTTATTTAAAGGGGTGTGTGTGCGTGTGTGTGTGTGTGTGTGTGTGTGTGTGTGTGTGTGTGTGTGTGTGTGTGTGTGTGTGTGTTTTGGTGGTGGTGGTGGTGGGGGGTTATTTCGTTTGGATCCTCAAGAAGGCAGAGCAACAAATGACCTGTCTCCTGTAATTACGGCCACGTTAACAAGAAGTGACTTGTTAATTGTTAAATCTCTTTAAAAAGAATTGTAGCTTGTCGTTTCCTTTCTTGTGCCTTTCTCTCTGTTGTCACATCATTGTGTTGATTTAAATCACTGATTGTCACTGTTTATTGCCTATTTTGATATCTACGGGTATTTCATATATTTTATGCTCTTTTTCACTGTCCTAATGCCCTAAGTCTTTGAGTTTATGTTTTCCTTCCTTACTCCGCCTAATGTTTTGGTACCAAATCCCAAGCATCTCATTGATCTCATGAAGTTGCTCAAATCAATAACAGTGACTGTCAGGGTGGACTATAAACTGTGATATAAGATTTATGCATCTTGACTTGCTTGTGCATGTTTGCTCTTCTCACGACATCCTTTCTCTTCTTTTCACACACACAGTGGCGTCCATTCCTCCCTGGTCTGAAATATGAAGTGATAGACTCGGCCTTCATCTCATTATATGCAGGTAAAAGTTTCATTTTGTTTGGTTGAATTTTAAAAGTGAGCTCTTCTCGTAGGACTTTTTCAGATTCAGAAAACTTTATTTATCCCCACTGCGCATTTAAGGGAGTAGAGAGTGGCACAGTTATTACTGTACATAAATACATAACATCCATGACAAAAAATCAACTCGTTTAAAGGTAAACTAAACAGCAGGGCTTTAATTGCATCAGTTATCTATCCATCAATTTTCTGTACCACTCACTAGGGTTGCGGCAGAGCTGTAGCTGATCCCAGCTGTCTTTGGGCAAGAGGCAGGGTGCACCATCAATTGGTCACCAGCCAGTTGCAAGGCACTGTATAAGTTACTGTATGTGTGTTTTATTTTATTTTAACCAAGCTCTTGCCGCTAAATTGAGATGCTGTCCATTAGTGTCAAGCTGTTGTTTAGTGTCAGTAAAATTTGCTTCCGTGTTGTCTCAACTCATTCACAAGGCCTTGGTATGACACAAGATTTTCCTTCTTTTTTTGGAGGGAAACTATGTCTTGTCAGATTGTGTGTAGAAAGTGTACACAGAGATTTTCTCTACTCAATTTCTTTGCTCAAAGTGTCCTTTATGGCACACTAAAGGACTTTTGTTGATGAAGTAACTTAGGACACAAAGAATAGGAGTTGGTCACCAGGACTTTGTATCAGAATACAAAAACTGACACCGATTTGAACCCAAAGTCATCTTGTGTGAGATAACAGTGTTATTATTTAAAACAATCCATATCCTTATCCTGTTCAGAGTCACAGCCGCGAGCATCCTTGCTGACTTAGGGTGAGTGGCGTGGCACACCCATGACTGATTGCCAGTCATGCCAAGCACACACTGTAAAGATAGAGACCCATTTCTTACTTACATACCGTCACTGAGCAGGATCTGAACCCACGCAGTCTGGGCAGAATTCAGCCAATTGAAACACTGCACATTTAACTGACGACCATATTGGTATGTGTCCACATTGAAACTAAAACTGAGTCGGTCAATAGTCCAATCACTGAAGATCAATAGCCAGTATATTGGATGACATTACTTATATTTAAAACACCGACACAGCATCAGTCCAGTCATCCATACATTCTAATGCATATTTTAGATAGATAGATATCCACAATCCTATTCACAAATAATTAAGTTGTACTTAATAGTAAAAAAAAAAAAAAAACTTGGTTACAACCTAGGAATGTCTCAAATGATTTTTTTTCATTTTAGCTTCATTAAAAAAAAAAATCACATGTATGTCAATATATAGTCAATTTGTATGCAGGTAGAGGTGCTAGTGAGCTGGCTATTGATTTGCTGTGAGATGGAAGTACTAGTACATGGCTGCTGAATGACACTTGTGAGTACGTCGCAGCACCACATCAGGACAAAGACGTTATCGACAGACAGACAGACAGACAGACAGACAGACAGAATGCTGAAAGGCTCCTTAGGTACGTACGTTTGGGGTCATGTACACGCTCGTCACAACTGGCCACGTAGTCCGCACCTTTACTTTGGTAGTTGATTTTCAGTGTCCCTGAGTATAAATTACATATGATTTGACCTTTGACATCTTTGAGTTAGATAAACCGGTAGTTCTTGACCTCCTTGGGGCAATGATATGTGAAATATTGATGAGATAGACCCTCCAGAGACGTGGACATAGCAAACCAAGGTCATACCCTGAATTCTACATAAATAGAACATATTCCTCAATGGGAGCCAGCAGATATTTAAATAGGTCAGATCCGGTGTTGTCGGGGAAAGCAGGTATGGAAACAACAGATGTCTGATTGCCCTGAAAATCAATGTAAAAAATTGGTGCCCTTTGTTTAATATGTGTGCACACCGTGACTGTGCACCACCAATCTTAATTCCTAAAGGATCAAAATGTTGCTGACCACCCTGTTAATTACGTGGCATTTCTCCCATCAGCCCTCGCACCTGACGTGCCATTAATCACACATGCCTCCTCCTCCCTCTATCCTATTGATTGGTGTAATTATGATTCTCCTCTGCGCTGTATTGTTTTCCTTCCAACTTTTTCTTTCTTCTACTTTGTTTCTCACTTTGCATCTTTCTCTTTGTTACAGCTTTTACACTCAATTCACAACATTTTGCACACCCGCACCATTTGTGAAAAGATACAACAGCAATATTGAGCGCTAAGGTTAGCTACCCACAGGTTGACTGGCTATCCCGCTGTTGTCTCCAAGTTTCGGGGCAATGGCAGGTACATATTATGCAACACTGAGCCATGGGTTGACTGTTAGTGGCTACCAGGGTGAGACTATCATCATCCCTTGCTTGTTCTGTTGAAAGGCTGATACGAGGCCAGGCAGTACAGTCCGGTGACTCCCAAAACAGGGTATCGAGGCACACCACTGTGCCATGAGAGATCACCAGGCGCGTTCCCAGAGAAATGATCTGAATTCACTTACTGTAAGTCGCAGTTATTTGAATGGTAAAGTGTTACCTGAAACAGGAGCATTGCCTGTGCAGTCACCGTCGTAAGTGTTTTATGATGTAACTGTTTGATTCCATTTCCAACGCACGATGCTTGACCTTGGATGTCCCACTGTAATTGAAATGATGTGTGTATGACCAAGTCTCTTAGGTTGTAATGGTTCACTCGCCTTAATTCCATACAGCCAGCTTGATTTTGGTTCCCGTCAGTGTGAGAGTAAATGTTTGTCCGTCTCTATATGGGCTCTGTGATTAACTAGACACCAATTCAGGGTGTAGTCTACCTTTCGGCTTAAGTCAGCGGGGAAGGCTCCAGGAACAGAAAATGAATGGAAGGACTTGTATGATAAGTGAATATTGTCCTGTACCTCTGGATTTTTGATCCATCTTCTGCTATTTTATCTCATTCGATTGCACAGGTGTATCTTTGAAGGGATTGTGTCTCTTTGTCCTTGCAGCTACACTTTTTAATGCTTACCAGTGATGGTCGCAGGATGACCAATTTGCATTTTGTTTGTCCTTCAAAGACCTGTGAGTTAATGTCTCCGGCTCTTCTTAGCCATGGTTTTGCTCTCTGAATCTTTCAGACGAGTCCAGCCTCAAGATGAACAGCATAGACCACATCCCCCAGACCTTTGCCAGTCATGTTCGCCTCCCGGAGGACTCTCTGCCCCAAAAGATGGAAGAAGGTGTCACCCCGCAGCATGGAGCAGATATGTTGAAGCCAGACCCGAGGGATACCTTCTATAGCAGTAATACTGTCCATCAGTTCAGACTGTCCGTTGTCTTTGTTGGGGGTGCTGTTGTTGTGGCATTTAGGTCATATAGTTTAATCTGTGTTTCCTTTATGTATGGTGCTAAGCAAATTTATGAGCGTTTAAACCATTGAGACTAATTGTCTCAAAGACTAATCATGAAGCGCTTTAATGCTTCAGTTTTAGTGAGCTATCAGTATTTCATCATTTTAATTTAGAAAACAAGCATAACATCCGACCATAACTATAGTTATTCATCTTAACAAAGGACTAATGAAGTGCTCTCTTACTTTTTGTAACTGGTTAATTTCTTTAATTAATGGATAACAACGTTAAATAAAGAGTGTCAACAGGAGTATATTAATCATTCGAGAAACATCAGACATAAAATACCAATGCTGGTTTAGGGCAGCTGTGGCATAAACCTCCTTTATTTCTTATTGTTACATTATTGACCTTTTCTGTTTTTCAAAATATCTTTCTGAATAGAGACATCATCTACTATGTTCTCTCTGCTTTCAGCTCCCCTGATCGAGCCCTCCCGTCTGGAAAATGTTCTGCCTGCTTGTCTTTACTCTCCCACCTATGTCGTCAAAGATTTCCCCATTGCCAGATACCAGGGCCTGCAATTTGTAAGTGCCCGCTCAATCGTCTTCCCGCTGGACCACCACGCTTGCCACTCACCATGTGTAATGCTGTTTTAATTGGCTGAAACGATTGCTCAAATCATCTCTGAGAGTCATCAGAAGGGCATCCAATTATAGCAGCTTTTTGTAGATGACTTTTAACCTGCTTAAAAAAAGTAGACAGTGGGAGAAAGTTGAACATGGATTCATCTGCTTCTCTCATAACTCAACTTTAGTAAAATGGAGTCAATGTGGAGCGCTGCTGCCCCCTGTCATAAGATGTTACTTACTACAGTATTACAAAAGAGAAAAGTTGCAATTTATTTGAGTAGTGTACTGGTTAAATTATCTGCTACTTACTGTTTTCCAGGTTTATCTGTCATTCGTTTACCCAAATGATTTCACCCGTCTCACACACATGGAGCGAGAGAACAAGTGTTTCTACAGAGAGTCCCCCATCTACTTAGAGAAGTATGTTGATCAAAAGGGAATTGTCTGTTTAGCTTGACGCATCCAGCTATGTAAGTCATAAAAGTCATTATACCGCCACGACTTAATGTAACCTGTCAGCGACTTCAACAAAAAAAGGAGTACCGGGAATATGACACAGAAAAGAAAAGATGCTTGTGCAGCTCAATGGGTTTTTTTGGTTTTTTGGTACCCTTTACAAATTATTACAAAGTCGAAATGCAAAATGTATGTGCTTTACCAAACATTGTGCTTTGTTGAATCAGGCCATAAGATTTTTTTTCTGTGTATCCCATTCAACAACTTGATATATTACAGCAGGGATGGGAAATTAATTTTGCAAAGGGGCCACATGAGAAATTGGATTGCTTGCCGAGACCCAAGCCAACAAACATGCTAACTACCACTTTGTCTTTATTCTTTTTAATGTATTTAAAATTGGTGATTGGCTGGCAACCAGTTCAGACTGTACTCCGCCTACTGCCCAAAGACGGCTGGGATAGGCTCCAGCACGCTCGCGGCCCTCGTGAGGATAAACGGATTAGAAGATGGATGGATGGTATTTAGAAAAAGCACTTTGTATCTGGTTGAATAAAGATAATAGTATGTAGTTATAATCACCAAATACACATTTTAAACACAATTATAAGCTATCATTAAAATTCCATGCTTACACTTACTACAACAGTAATTTTGTGCACCAACCACCAACCAATATCAGCCGTTCCTAATCAGGACTCCCAATTATATAGATAAGTGGGAAATATATTATTATTATTAACTGTGATGAATAATGCTACAGTGATGACTTATAATACAGCCAATATGTACAGTGTTTTTTCATACAGTCTTAACAGGCCAAATCTTCCCTCCACTGTGCAGGAAAGAAGAACGTTGTTAACATTAGGACCACTGTTGTCATTTTTTTTCTATTCTCTTTTTTGGAACATTAGCTGCTAGAGGGGTTGGAAAAGTCAATAAATATCGTGAAAATGTTGCTCAGTTGGGAAGACAAGTCGCATCTCTTGCTCGCTATCTCGCTTGTCCGAGCAGCCACACATGTGCACATAAAATAAAAGTAGAATTTTCCAAATAAAAGCATCACATCTTTTATATTTTACTTTGACTTCATCGTCACTGTGAGGGCCCATCAGAGACAGTGGGTGGGCTGGATCTGACCCCCGGCTGGACTATACCTAGGTTTATATTAGAATAGGATGGCATGATACCAACACACGCATCAGAGCACTATATTTTTCTGTATGCCTTCGGGACTATGTGTGCTTGCAACTCAAAATAGACATCTCTTCGTTTAATCACATAGATTTAAAAGAGCACTTTTGATGGCACATTTTAAAGAAAAGTGTTGTTTTTCGATCTTCAAGGTTCGGCTTCTACAAGTACATGAAGATGGATGAGGAGGAAGATGACAGGCCATTCTTCTTTCCCAACCCAGATGGTAATTTACTGCTAACTCTTACTGTAAGACCAGCATCACTATTTCTCACTGTATGCCTCCTTTATTTGTCTCCAGACTTCCTAGAGGAAGATGGAATGGTGGATGTGGAAGACGAGGCAGAAATTGTTGGCACACAGTCACCCAAGAAGCCTCTTCACCACAGTCAGACAAGCCACGCCTCCAAGCCCTCATATCATCACCCTCAATTTAGACCTACAGGTAAAGAAGTAGAGGATGAAGGGGCGGATCCTGATGAGAAGGAAAAAGGTGCAATCAATAATATTGTAAACCGCCGAGAAAGGAGACCCTTTGGCAACAGAGATGAGGAGATGGAAAGGGACAGAAACTGGAGAGGAGCTCAAACAAAAGCGAACAGGAGTCATGATACTCGAGAGGCGCTGTCAGAACTCCAATCCAGGATGTATCACTCTGACACAGATAGCGTCATCGCTGGCCGCTCGCTGTCGTGGAGCCATAACAGTCCTGCAAGGCTCAGCCCAGCTAGTAAAGGAGGAGGAGAGGACATTGAGGGTCCACCTAAATTGACTAGATCGCTCCTTTTTCCCAAAAAGTCCTCTGTCCCTGGTCTTGCTAGTCGTGCCAAACAAATCCTGAGCAACTCTGCCCACACCAGCAATGTCCATGACAGTAACAATAAAATCGCTGGAAGCAAGAAAGAGAAGACGGAGGAAAACAAGATCTACATCACCAGGCCTCGGCCCAATAGGGAGCGAGAGAAGGAGAGGGAGCGGCGTCGAGAAAGGATGGAAGAGAGGGCATCTCGCCACCCACGTGAGGTATTCCCTGGGGTCTTTCTTTACCAAACTGGGAAGACCACAAGACTGGTCAAATTTGGTGACAAAGGGCATGTTGTGGGGGTTAAAAGCGGAGGAAGGAGTCCAGTTAGCTCCCCTCAGCTGTGGCCCAATCCACTCACAAAAGGGGGTAAGGCATCTCCTCACAATCAAAGCATCAACATTCCAAATGGAAGTGTTCAAAAGTCTGCCAACAGGGCAACGGCTCGAACACAGCCAGATGAGAGACTTAGCAAAGGGCACAACCTCGCTTCAAAGATAAGTGCCACCACCGGCCTTCCCAACAAACAACACTCACTCACCCCACGGTCTCATCACCAAGACCCCACCCAGCATTCTCCTCACTGGCTCAACTCCACTGAAAACCTCCACGGTCAATTGCGAGTCACCTCTTACCTCAGGACCACCGAGATCACAGAGTCGCAACCGGACCCCAACCTGGCGGAGCTGGAGCAGGACACAAACCGCTCTAATCCTGACCCGGAACCAGAACTGGAAGAGGGCGAGATGTCAGACTACAGCTACGAGGAGGTTGAGGTGCGGCCAGGTTGGGCAGAGGAGAGCATCAACTGGCAGAGGACCTTCTCGGTGAACCCAATGGACTTTGAACTTCTGCGCTCTGACTGGAATGACCTCCGCTGCAATGTGTCCGGTAACCTCCAGCTGGCAGAGAGCGAGGTGGTGGATGTGCTGGCTCAGTACATGGAGAAGCTCAACGAACGGAACGGCGGGTAAGAACAATACTTGAATGCTTCGGAGCAATGGACAACGAAGTGTGGGATATGTCTTCCTGGTAACCTGCTAAATGTGTTGTTGTTTATGTATTGCCTTGATTGGCATTTCGAGTGGTGTTGAATGTAATGTCCTATAATGAGAGGAATTTCCAGTGAGATCAAATAACATAGTTTTGATTGTTATTGCCATAAAGTACATATAAATGCAATGTTGGGCTGACTTATATTTTGCCCCTAACCAATATGGCTAAATAAGTACAGTATTAGAAATTGTCTTTCAGTGTGATGCATTAAGTAGATATTATTGTATAGCTCTTTCCAGAAGCATGCCAAAAATGTTGCCTTCACAAATGCATCTCGTCGCCCGCATTTGGACGCCATGAACAATGAAAGTTGAACAACAGAAATAATAATAACTAAATAATAGTGTTAGGATGGTCAGCTGATATGAAACAACTATTGTTTTTTCCCAAATAATCACTTTGAATTTTATGGCTGCAACACGTTTCCAAAAAAATAAACAATCATTGCATTCTGTTTTTAATTTACGTTTAACACAAAGTCCTGACATCATTGGAATTGGGTTTGCGCTTCTAATTACATTGTGAAGCTTTACTGTAGCTTATAAAGCACCTGTCTCGAGAGTGTATGACGTTGATGAATTGTCTGCACTAAGTTAAACAACGCTCTTCGTCTGTATTGAAAATCCAGTGCATTTTTCTGTGCTTTGTCGATTGTCTGCATCTGGGACCCAGGATTTATACCCTGCTGCGAATCATCAATGTTGAGAAGCGGCGAGACTCTGCCCGAGGGAATCGCTACCTTGTAGAACTGGAGCTGATGGAGAGGGGCCGCAGTGTGGTGCGACTGTCCGAATACATCTATCTGCTGCTCCACCGAGGCAGGCAAGTCGAGGAAAGCTTTGAGAACACCGAGAGCGCTCCGGCCTCTTCCCCGGCCTCGGGCCCCTCCGCTGCCACATCCAACTTCAGCACTGCTCCACACTTGCCCCCCACCAAGTCTCCCTCGCGGCCTGGAGCCACAGCTTGGAGCACAGCCTTTGCAAAACCTCTGCTCTGCCAGCCAGTCATGCTGCAGTGGAGGAAAGATGTGATGGTGCACTTTGTGGTACCAGGTCAGTCAGAAAACCTGCTGTTGGAATAATCTGAGATGTCAGAGATACAGGAAGGCAATATTGAGTCACAGTATAATACTGTAAATTGATAAGCAAATGACATTTCAGATGGACTTGCTGCTCGTCCTCATTGTCATGTTCCGCTCTTTCAGTGAAAAACCAAGCTCGCTGGGTCCAACAGTTCATTTCTGACATGGAAAATCTTCATCATCAAACCAATGATGACAACTTCAGCATTATCATTGTTGACTTTGAGAGTGTCGACATGGATGTGGAGCAGGCGCTGAGAGACAGCAGTGTTCCAAGGTGCGTCGTGCATCTGATGCAATCGACATTGGTAGCTCATATGGTAAAACCTCTAATCCAGCTTAGTAGTCGACGTAGCAATTGTTTGCTTTGTTTTCCTTAGATACGAGTATCTAAGGAGAGAAGGGAACTTTGAGCGCTCAGCAGGACTACAGATTGGAGTGGATACCATTGAGGTGAGATAGACAAACACAAAGGGATAGCAGGCTGGAGGCGTGGGCAGAAAAAAGGACTGTCTGACACTGACCATATGGCCTTTACTGGCTGATAGGCACGGGGGGAAAAATCCCTCGTACATCATACAGTAAATCTATGTCCTTGGTTGTTTAGTTGTTGACGTTGACAATAAAGTTGTACTTGACTTGACTTGACTTGACCTGACCTGACTTTAGACGACTTCCTGCTCTCTTGTATTCTTTCACACTGACCCCAGTCTTAACATTGGAAAACGGTTCAATGCCATTCTGTCTTTTTTTTCCCTCACTGCGGTCAGACCAGCCACCACACGCAAAGTTTAAGTTACATATCCATCTATCCATCCATCCATTTTCTGATCTGCTTTATTCTCACAAGGGTCGCGGGGCATGCTGGAGCCTATCCCAGCTGTCTTCGTGCACTAGGCGGGGCACACCCTGAACTGGTTGCCAGCCAATCGTGGGGCACAAATAGACGAACAACCATCCGCGCTCACTCTCACACCTAGGGACAATTTAAGATAAGATAAGATAAGTAACCCTTTATTAGTCTCACAATGGAGAAATTCCCAAATCACATGGTTCAATCAGCCTACCACGCATGTGTGAGGAAACCGCAGTACCCGGAGAAAAACCATGCAGGCACAGGGAGAACATGCAAACTCCACACAGGAAGGCCGGAGTTGGAATCGAACCTGTTACCTTTGCACTGTGAGCTCGACGCGCTAACCACTGGTGCACCGGGCCACCCTTAACAGAATTCCCACAAGCTTGCCAGGAGTTGAACCTCGCGTCTTCTGATCCGTAGTGAGATGCATTATCTATTGCACCACTAACTACATACATACATATATATGTATAAAGAGAGAGAGAGAGAGAGAGAGAGAGAGAGAGAAAGAGAGAGAGAGCAAAAAGAAACATGCACTTGTCTTTGTAATCGATTGATTAGTCTGGGATTTATGCTAGTACCAATTTGGACATTTCTATGCTTGTGACAGTCAACGAATAGTTGAGCGTGACTGTGCACAAAGTCAAGCACTGGAAGGAATACAGTTCTTGGATGAGTTTGGCGTTGAGTACCTTAACAGCACTGACCCCTTGTGAGCCAGGCCCTTGAATTCAACATTTGTGACCTCGGCCCTCACTAATATTCTTTTGGATGAATGTACCATCATTCCCATAGCCCCAAATCTTAAAATCTAAAAGCATTGCCACAAGAGTGGGAAATAATATCAAAGACCGGAATGTGTGATATCTTGATGGTGGTCTCTCACTTAAAGTAAAATTTCACCTGTAGACCTCGCACACTTGCAAATCCATACCCACATTTGTGCTAATTCTTACTCAGGCCAAGGTACTGCAGGTAAAATGACCGTTTCTCTTCCTTCCGGCAGGATAGCCACAGCATTGTGTTCCTATGCGACCTCCACATTCATTTCCCCCTAAACATCTTAGAGAGCATCAGGAAGCACTGTGTTGAAGGACGCCTGGCTTTCGCTCCCATTGTTATGAGACTTGGCTGCGGGAGTTCGCCACAGGAGCCTGACGGTAACACGCACAAATCACCACTCAACGTCAAAATATCAGAAGTGAATGCAATAACCATTCGCTTTGACTTTTGACACAAGCTCTTTTTTTTTATGGGTGTATACGTTTTCACAGGATATTGGGAGGTAAATGGCTTTGGTCTTTTCGGGATCTACAAGTCTGATTTTGATAAAATTGGCGGGATGAACACAGAGGAATTCAAAGACCGCTGGGGGGGAGAAGATTGGGAGCTTCTGGACAGGTAATTCGACTAAATGCCAAGGACTTATTTTAGAAGATTTTCATTTGTTTCCCTTATTCATCGTTGTCTCCATGTCGACTGTAATGCCCCTAGAATACAAATTTTCACTCGGTGATACGTTGTGCCTTGTTGCTGGATTATGTGCCATCCATGTATTTTCTGTAGCACCAACCATGTTCAGTTTAAGGTACGTACTTACTACTTAAAGGTATATGAATTTTTACCTCCCAAATACTACGGACTGGGATGGTACATAAAACTGTGTGTGTTACTGTTAAAGCATACCGTGTTTTCCAATGCATTTAACCTCTTAACAAGTAGTTTGTTTGTCAAACTATTGAAGGCAATTTACTGTACATTAGAAGTTGCGTTCAGAGTAACCATAATAGGCCAGATCTGATGAAAGCCTCCGCATATTTACAAATTACAATCTTCTTTTTAAAGGATTAACTGAAGAATGTACTCGATAAATGCTTTGTTTCTCTTTCCCGATGTCTACAGGGTGCTGCAGAATGGTTTGGAAGTAGAGAGACTTCGCTTAAGAAACTTCTTTCACTACTACCACTCCAAACGTGGAATGTGGAATGCCCAAAACAAGAAAACTGCAAAGGGATAGTGCCGCACCTGAATAGTCATCTACCTAAAGATCTCCTATGTGAGACTGTGTGAGAGAAAGAGCTGAGATGGCTTGCTCACTGATGGGCAGCGTTTCAGCATCCTTTGTAGGCTTGTCTGTTTGAGAGAACAAAGTCCAGATGTGAACTTTGGAAGTGAGCTGTTTACACGGATAATCCTGAGTAACTTTGAATCAACAACTGGAGTGCTTGAAGGAAGAGAATTTGTACTTCTTGTTTCCCAATTCTAGTGCAATGTTTTCAGAAGAACTGGAAAAGAGTTGTTTTTCTGTATGTATGAATGTGCACTTGTATATTATAAGTCTGTGTGTGTGTGTGTGTGGGGGGGGGATTAAGAAAGCACCTTTTTTTTTCTGATAAGGTGATGCTAACCTCAGATATTTTTTCTAGGATGTGCGCACATGACATTCTAAAGTGAATGTGCATCATCACGCCCCAGTAGAGTCCCTCGTAGGGTTATCGCTCAATAAATTATCTACTCACTGGATATACTCATGTAAGTGGCCAGTATGGCAAGGTGCTGACGTTCTCCTGACACCTAATATTATGAGCCCTACGTAGAAATATATGCATCATCTTTTCATGCCCTGTCACTCTTGTCCTTTTCCTTTAAAAAAAAAAAAAGATTTCTAATGTACTTCAGTCGCTAGCTTCTTGTCTCCTATTAGTGTCATATTGTTTTGTACAGTCGACACTTTCTATGAAGCTCTGCTGTTTTGTACACTGTAACGGGTGTTTTACCCTCAAATTGCTCTTTGCCATTTATGACAGGTCTTGTCTCATGAACTGCATTTGTTCTGCTTTTAGCTCCCTTCACTAGAGTTTTTGTTTTTTGGTGAGTGATTATAAACGCACTAACTGTGGTGTTTTTTAGTTCTAAAACACTGGTTTGTGAACAGTTTATACTTATTAATATTTATAGCCTCCATTCCCTCCAGAGCTCTTAACCTCAAACATAACATAAAAGTCTAAAGAGCGAAGAAGAGGACTGATAATTATGTTGTTGTTGCTTTGAGCCTTTTGTGTTGAAAATTTTGGATTTAAAGGTTTCAAAATGTTTTTCTGTAGATGACACTTCCGTGAAACTCAACGGAAGTGAGAACATTTACTTTCTCACAAATGTGTGCCTTCATCTGAGTTGGGCTGCAGGCAGTTTTTATACGGTCGTATATTACTACTGACACAAGAAGAATACAACCGTGAAAAAATATTTACAAACGGGCTGTAAAGTCTCTATAATTTCAGTTACACTATCACGGAAGGAGCAAAGGTCCTTTGCCATGGATTACTGACATCTATGTGTGTTTGCCGTAGTAGTGCATTGAACGTGTTGTTACAGACCAAGGGACTACTGAACAGGACCAGCGTGTGTAATGGAGAGACACTGGCAGCTGCAGTTCAGCAGGGCCCCACCGGTTCCTATTAGCTTTCCTGGAGGCCGGGATCCTAATGCCTCGAGTATAACATGGTACTTATGATGAAGAGTGGCTGGTGGGCTCCGGGCTGGACTCGTACGAGTAATAGTTTATGATCTGTTATTGACTGTATGATTGTTAAATGCCCTCTTTGCCTCTACTGGAAAAGGTCTAAATGACATAAGGTCATTTAACATTCACAAGGGGCAATTTCAAAAGCAGAAGAAACACTATAATACTAGACTACATATATATATTTAAGAAGGAGATTGGTGGAAAATAGGTATATACATTCCAAGGTAATTTCTGTGAAATTGATTTGTAGAGAAAAGGTTTTAAGAATGTATTGTACTTTTTGTTTGTTTTGGGATATAAAATTGTATGCATACGACGACATCATTTTCTGTGTTTTTTTATTTTTTATGTTGTATAGTAACTGCCTTTGGTCTGTGCGTCGAGTATTTCATTGACACGTTCAAACGTCATAAACAAGAAAAGGCATGTACCGTGTCTAGCCACATGGGGGCTGTCCATCCATATACGCAAGCCTTGTTAACGTGTCCTCATCTTTGAAGAATTGGGCAACAGGGGGAACTTCGAAGACTTTTCTGAATTCGCGTCACCAAGACGTGAGTCTAATCTCACTGCGTCTCTGTAGCAACCAAATGCGCATGAACTGATGACATCTCTCGTCGCGGAATGTTAAAAGTGCCATGTGTTTTTTAACAGTCAGGTAGAAATTGGCATTAGAATCTGTTTTATTTATTTTTAATTGAGTACATTGTGGTTTTATTGTAAAAACAGGATCGTGTTAAAATGAGGTTTTAACAGAGAACGTTTATAACTAGCAACGTTTGACTGTGTAATTCCCATTTTGACTCACAATATTTCTTTGTTTCACAAGTATTAGTGGAGAAAACAGATTGGACTGTATTTCACAAAGGAGATAACGTGCAATTGTGTCATGTAAATTTTAATCATTTTCAGACTGTATGAAACTGTTGGACCCCCATGTCAACATTGGTCTGGGTGATAATTCTTTAATGCTTTCCTGAGTGTGCAAACACATGACATGACGCAAGTGATATCCTGACTACAGTTACACGCAATCTGGATGAAGCAAGTGTTAACCCACTGTACTAGCCTCAGAGGTTTTTGCACTTCATGACCTTTGACTCAAACATAACTTGTAACTGGTTCACACTTAGGTCTTTGCGCTGGAATTTTAATGTGCTTGAGGTTCATGATGCTGCCAGCAACATAGAAACAAGCAACATAGTACATAGTCAGAAACAAAATATTCATTGCCTCTTCAAATTTTCGGCATAACAATATGTACGTTTACTTTTAGTCATAGAGTGGAGGGAACAAGTATTTGATACCCTGCTGATTTTTGAAGTTTCCCCACTCACGAAACAGGTAGAGGTCTGTAATTGGTATCAAAAAGGTACTCTTCAACTATGAGGGACAGAATCTAAAACACAACTCCAGAAAATCTGTTGATTTCAAATAATTTGCATTTTATTGCGTGACATTGTATTGTATATATCTCAGACAAACAGCACTCAGTATTTGGCACAGAAAGCTTTGTTTCCAACATAGATCTAAGGTTTTTAAATAGTTCTTCCACCAGGTTTGCACACACTGCAGCAGGGATTTTGGCCCACTCCTCCATACACATCTTCTCCGGAGTGTTCAGGTTATGGGGCTGTCGCTGGGCAACATGGACTTTTAGCTCTCTCCAAATATTTTCTTTTGGATTTAGCTCTCGGGACCGGCAAGGCCACTCCAGGACCTTGAGATGCTTATCTAGTTTGCCTGGCTATGCGTTTTGCATCGTTTTCATGCTGGAAGACCCAGCCACGACCCATCTTCAATGCTCTTACTGAGGGAAGGAGATTGTTGGCCAAGATCTCACAATACATGGCGCCATACATTCTAGCCTCATTACGGTGCAATCATCCCATCACCTTTGCAGAAAAGCATCCACAAGAACGATGTTTCCACCTCAATGCTTCACAGTTGGGATGGTGTTCGACTCATCCTTCCTCTTCCACCAAACACAATGAGTGTAACTTTGACCAAAAGGCTGCACTTTTGTCTCATCAGACCACATGACCTTCTCTGGATCATCCAGATGGTTCTTGGCAAACTTCAGATGGGCCTTGGCATGCGCTGGTTTGAGCAGGGGGACCTTACGTGCACTGCAGGATTTCAATCCATGCCTTTCCTATTGTCCTGTAGTCCATCCCAGCCTTTTGCAGGTCTACAATTTTATCCCTGATGTCTTTGCACAGCTCTCTGGTCTTGGCTATTGTGGAGGGGTTAGAGTTTATTTGATTGAGTGTGTGGACACGTGTCTTTTATCCAGGTAACTATTTCAAAGCGGTTAATACGGGTAATGAGTGGAGAAGAGGAGGGCTTCTTCAAGAAGAACTAACAGGTCTGTGGGAGCCTAAATTCTTACTGATTGATAGGCGATCAAATATGTATGTCATGCAATAAAATGCATTTATTTAAAAAATAATTGACTGTTTTTGTCTTAGATTCTGACCCTCGTAGTTGAAGAGTACCTTTGTTACATATTACAGACCTCTACCTGCTTTGTAGGTGGGAAAACCTCAAAAATCAGCAGTGTATCAAATACTTAGTCTCCCCACTATAACAATATGCATGCTTATGCTGTGGTCAAACTCCACCCTTAGCTGCACAATCTGCTAGTGAGTATTGACTTTTTGATTCACTCCATTTAATAGCACAGGACCTGAAACAACACTTGAAACTAATGTTATAAAGTAAAAAAATGATTGATGAGTCGCTATGATTCTAATATCTATTGACCTATGCAGTTCTCTGAAGAATACGCATCCGTGTAAACAAATAACTTATTTGTTACCCTCTTCAGAGTGAATATTTTAGATTATAGACCTCTGACATCGTCACAAAGTCATTATTTTTTGCAAAGAGATAAAAGTAAGAGATTTTTTTATTTTTTTTTTTGATAAAAGTAAGAGATGAGTTGAAGTGAAGGCCACCACCTTACGCTGCCTCAGACAACATGACAAAATAAACGCAGTTAATATCAGCAACGGGAATTCCCTAAATAGGACTCTGTCATTTAAAAGTGTTTTATCAGCATTTGGTCTTTTTAACCAATCGTAATTTGTCTCAACTCATCGAAAGAAACACGTGAAAGTTCGGTACAGTAGTACGCACTTTACGAGTAATAACATTTGCAAGGACGGTTATGTGCTCTGATTGGCTGGGTCTCATTCAGTCATCCCCATGATTGGCCCGTTAGTTACTTCCGTGTTGTCATTCTGCATTAGCCCCTCCTTCGCAAACCCACTTGCAGTTGCTGAGTCGCTCTCATATTCGCTCATCTCGTCACCCTGAGAGCAAGCGAGATGACCTAACGTAACGTTTTCTGCGGGTATTCAATACAAAAAATTGGTTTTGGTAGGTGGCCGAGGGATGTATTTATTTTTATTTCTATGAAAAACTGGCGGAAATTTCAAAAGCGAGGAAACACCGAGGCACGCATACGCTCGTTGGAGAAAAGTTTAAATCTCTGCGTTGCATGGGAGAATTAAGGTAAATCGGGACTTGCAACTCCCCGACTTCCGAGTTAGAAATGGACAACATATGTGACATTTCATCATAATTCGTTTGTTAATACACCGTCGTGTGTAGCTGTGAACTTTATCGAGTGGCTTGTTTGACAAATGGTGTGCGGTGTAACCAGTTTATCCGGCTGGCCAGGAGTTGCGAGGTAGTTTGACTTCCAGGTGAAGCGCCACGGACGAGTGCAGCTCCTCCGATTAAACGGAGCCTTTTCACCATCATGGCTGGAGTGAGTAATGCCCACCTGAAAACCCTTGAGGACCTGACTTTGGACTCTGGCTATGGAGCGGGAGACTCGTGCAAATCTCTCAGCCTGTCCTCCTCCAAATCGAACTCCCAGGCCTTCATGACGACCCCTCACCGGGGCAACTGGTGGTACTACTCGGGCTCCATGAACAGCAGGAACAACAGCTGGGACACGGTCAACACTGTCCTCCCCGAGGACCCGGAGGATATTTTCTCCAAATGTCCCCGCTTGCCTGAACTGGAGGAGTTCCCCTGGACCGAGGACGAGGTGGGCCGGATCCTGCGTAAAGTGGCCGAGAGTGGCACCCCGAAGGGCGGCCACGCACCGGCGTTCAGCTCGGAAACCGTGCGGCGATTGTCCGCCCTGCTCCGAAAGGCTCTCATCCGCATCTCGAGGGAGGCTCAGCGGCTGAGTGTCATGCACTGCCGCTGCACACGCTTCGAGGTGCAGAGCGCCATGAGGCTGGTACTCAGTTGGGCCCTGGCCGACTACTGCGTCTCGGCCACGGTCAAAGCAATCTCCATGTACAGCATGAGCGCCGGCGAGATGCTGAGGAAGGGCAAATCGGCCCGTTGCGGCCTGACCTTCTCCGTGGGACATTTCTTTCGCTGGATGGTGGACACTCGCATATCTGTGCGTATCCACGAGTACGCCGCAATATGCCTGACCGCCTGCATGGAAGCTCTGGTGGAAGAGATCGCTGCCCGGGTGCTGATGAGCGACCGGAGTCACCCGGGGCCAGATTCAGGGTCATCATGTGGCCCAGTGAGTGTCGAGGCCTTGGAGGGAGTGGTGAACAATGAAGCGGAATTGTGGGGAGTCCTGCAGCATTATGAGCACCTGATCTGTGGGAAGAACGCAAGCGGTAAGCCCGTTCGAGTGAATGAATGAGAGCCTTCAGTGTGTGTTGCTATGTGATGACATCCAACATACACCTAGAAGTTTTCCTCTCACAGCGTCTCCCTTCAGAGTTGTGCTCACCACTTTCCACTCATTCACCTTCCAATGCTTGTGGAAACACTTAAACGGGGTCCTGGCTGGATACAATAGCAGCCCTTTGTGCGAGACATTTGATGGGTTGTTTCTAATTTGACCTGGCAGAATGGGAAAATAACAATGCCGAGCTATATGATAGAACAAAGGAAGTATTTTTTTCTTTCATAGAATGTCCTGCGAGAAGAAACGACAGGTCTTTGTGTCTGATAGATCACTTTGATTGTATTGTACTGTAGTGATTTCTCTCTCCTCCCAGTTCTCATATCACACCACCATGCTGTGCAGGTAATCATGTTGTGGTTTGGGAGTGCTTACAGGAGTTTTCTCTGTTCACGCTGCCTCTCATCCTCTTGCTGTGGTTGCGCTCCATCAGTTCTGTTTTCAAGTTGTTTTCATGATTGGGCTGTATACCAAGGGGACATTGCCCGTTTCTTCCTGAGCAATGACCAAGGCACAGAAAACACAGATTGTTTGTTAGGGGGTGGGGGTGGGGGTGGGGGGTTCAATTAACCTAACCAGTGAAATTGCCCCTTCATTGAAATTTTGAAATGGTCATTTCTGAGTCCTTTCAATAGAACCTTTGTTTACTATACATGTAGTATTTTTAAATAACATTCTGATGATCTTAACTGTAATACAAGTGTAAAAAGAAGTTAAGCCTCTTATGATGTGACACTACTTCGTAGAATTAAAGTACTCCCATAACTTTTGATTGATTGATATTGAGATTGAGGCAGGTTTAATGAGGACAAGTTGACATTTTAACCTCTTTAACTATCATTCAAGCAAAATAGTAAATGGAGTGCACTCTGTCACCATACTTAGCAATTTAACTTAGTTCTCTTTTCTGAGTCCTTTGGCTACCCCAGTGTTGACTCAATTTATAGCCTTTCTTTGTGGCCTACGACAAGTTCAGTGGAGCAAATCTTTTTATTTATTTATTTATTGCAATACAATGGCCTTTTGTTTTGTGATTGTCCGGCTTTTAGCCTAGCAGTAAAACAAATGCTGGGAAAGCTGGCCACATGGGCTTAGCACACTCACATACAGCACAAAGAGGGGGAGGGACATTGACTTGACCAAGCTGTTGCTGTAGGGCTGCAATTAGAAGATGCTTTCAGCCTGGAGCATCTTTCAGTGCAAGTCTGAATGCAAGCCATCCATGGCCAATGAGAGAAGGAAGGAAGGATGTCAATGCTGCTAATTGCTCAATCGATTGGCAATAAACTATATTCTGCCACTATACAGTCACGCCGCACAACTTCTTACGCATGCATATTTGTTTCAGTGGTACTTCCTGCTCTCAGTAATTATTATTCAATCACAGAATAAGTTAAAGCGCCCTCTGTATTTAATATTTAGACAGATGTCTTTTGGTTGGGCTGCTCTCGATTGACCTATTTTGGTTGGTTCAGTCAAGTGTGCGCATGCGCGCACGTCTGTCCACATATGTTAAAAACAACAGACCATTATTCTGACCACCCCGGCTTTTTATAGGTCTATGACTGGGTTCCCCTAGCCACATGCCCTTTTACCAGCTCACCACCTGACACCCCACACCCAAACAGTAAGACCTTAGCCTGCCTCTTTCCTCTTCTGCTTTTGCTGATGTCCCCACAACAGTCATTATTTATAAAAGCAAATATCTACTTTCTGGCCTTCAACATGATAATTCCTGAATGGGAGGGAAGGCTGCTGATCACTCAGAAGGCCACATTCAGAACAAAAAAAAAATCTCCACTCCTCTCTTGCTCTTGATTTCTCTTCATTTTGCCAACTTTTTCTCAGGCGCAAGCTCACATCTGGAAGTCCTTAAGAAAGCAAGGACTTGCCGGGCTCCAATAACAATTCTGAAAACTCCCCTTATGCCTCTCTTGTGCTTGGTTCTATCTTCTTATTTTGTATTCTTTGCTCATGCATTCACATCCACATCCATTTAATCTTTAACTGTTTATTTCTTCTTGTCTACAGGGAGTGCATTTTTGGGACGTGCCAGAATTGTATTCATTACTCACACGTTCGCTTGTTGTACACATGTCGACCCTGAACTTGTTTGGTCTGCCTTTTATCTGCGTTCAAATGGCACCGCAGCACAGTTTGAACTCATTGTGCAGCACCATTGTAGTACAGAATCCATTTGGCATTCAGTTCTCCCCGCAAGCATGAACAGGCCCTTTCTGACATAGCCTGTCCTGCCTGCACTGTGGGGCATTTTTCAATGGATACAGCTTCACTAATGGACAATGGGAAGGGAATCATTGATCTTTGTGATCATACAAACATCAAGTAAACCTCCGATTGGCTGTTACATTGAAATAGTCCTTTGCTTGCAGATTTCATACTGTAGCCTACAGTGGAGTGTATCAACATGCAATCATGCGATAGTGTCTTTGCAGTGCCACTTCACTCAAGCATGACTGGGTTTGTGTTTGCATTTGAAATCTAATTATGTAGCATGTTTTATAACAGTCTTGTATTTTGCATACCGTTCTTCCAAAGGGCAATCATTCAGCACACCTGAAATAGTTTTTGCAATTTTATGCTGCTACTCGCGCCTTTTTACAGTCGGTTACTGTAGACACAACAGACTAGTCGTATTTCAAATTGCATTTGAAAGGTGATGTCAACTGGCAACTGCAGCACAGTGTCACATGCTGCATTGCCCTCCGCCGTGAGCCAATTCTCCACCTGTGGGAGGCTCAGATGTGTATGTGTGTGTGGCTGTACATAAGGCAGGACCTCACTGAATGGGAGTACTGTATTCATAGCATGCAACATTGACCCAGATAAATAAACTTTGGTTTGGTTCGGTACAAACAAAAATTGTTTCTCCTCCAGATTTTTAAAGGTAGTTGAAAGGCAATGACTAATGGATTTTGGGGCGCAGGAGAGCTGTGTGTATGTTGTTCTGCTCAGTATTTTCCGAAGTATGTATTTAGCCCGGAAGGCGGCGTGGGAACAGTGTGGAGAAAGAGGCAAGGAGAACATCCCAGCGCTGTGGTCACACAGATGGGGAAACCAGCACTCTGAAAATACACTGCCCTACTCTGCACATCTGGAATCAGGATCAGATGCAGTTTTGGAAAACATTTCATAGCTTTAATATAATGGTGACATAGCCAGTGTACTTTGTATGACACATGCGTGTCCCAACACGCTGCAAATTTGACAGGACAACAATCGTGTATTCGGTTTGAAAAACGCAGCACAAGTTGCGAGTTATATGGCTTCAGTGAGTAATATGAGGTTAATCCTCTGAAGATACTGCAGTTTATTAGTCTGTCTATGCACAGGCTCTGTCTTGGTTATGTTTGTATCTTAAGTCCCAGAGCCACCAGCACACTGATGGTGCATGTCATTGTTAGCTCTGGCTTCTGGTCTGAGCCCAGGTGTAACAACACAAACTCATTGGATTGCTGTTTTGCTCATGTGTTTTATTGTGCTCGCATGTGGGTACAGTATTTGTGTGGCTTTGGACTATTTTTGGAAGACACAAGTCTTTCAGAGATATAACAACACACATGATTTCTTGGGCTATGACAGAACCAATGACATCGTTTCAGGAACGTCCCCTTAATTTATCGCGATCTTGGTTTCTTTTATCTTGTGAACTAATTGTATGTCTTCAATGCTCATACCAGCGTGAATTGCTCCCCTGGTCTCGAGGAAATGTAAGACTTCATTTTGATGACGTCACGCTCCTCCCAATGCATTTCGGCTAAATGAGTCATGGTTCACATAGTTTACAGTAAATCACTACAAGGGCGGAAGAATGAAGCTGACAATGACAGATACAGAAAGTTAAAGGATACAAATAGAGGAACAGAAATAGTGGTAACAGTCTCAAAAGTGTCCTTAGATATATCTTGATTAAGCCCTTCATGACAAATTCTTGGATGACAGTGAACTGAGTTTTATTCTGTGTAGCCCACATTGGTTTTGGGCTTCCTTTTCTTGTTTAAATTGGAAACTGTGCAGCTAGTGTGCATTACCACAGCGTCCCGTCTATGGCTCTTAAGGCACTCTGTCCAGTCCTGTAGAATGAATTTTCAGCCTGGGCAGCTAATAGGAAAACAAGAGTAAGAACCAGACGGTTGGAGGGTGACCCGGAGACTGCAATACTTCACGCACCTGTGTTGTCATCTGGATTGGTCATAATAACTCTGCAAAGTAGAGTCGTTCACAGGAAACCATAAAGTGTCAGAGGTTAGGAGTCGTGGCTTTCACAGTTGGCAAAAAGGGTTGCAGTGCTTCAAAAAAACAGCACTGCATCCTTTCTATGATTGCACACATATAACCCGTGGCTGAAAAAAATTCAGTGCTGGGCAGAGCAGCTGTAACACGTCAAAGATACATTCCATTTTGCACACGTGATTTGTTCTTATATTCACAGTATTACCATCTGTGTTATAAAAAAAAAAAAATAATAATAATAATCCAGTCCTTCATAGGAGGCATGTCTAGTGAGCACTTGTTCACCTTAAAATAACCTTAGTTGTAATGCATACACTGCAAGAGAGTATTAGTTCACTACACTTTCATTGAATGAAGGTTAATGTAAAAATCATCAAAACTGCTTTGAGGTAGCATCAAATGCAAATAAGCATTTACAATAAACTGGTGGAGGAGAAACTGCACATTGCACTACATTAAATGTACACAAAAACAGTTACTTGTTTTTTTTAATAGGTTAAGGAACTCAATATTTGTCAAGGTTGACCGATATGAAATACTTATATCGTGAAACATGTTTTTCAGCAATATCGCCCAGCCCGACGAAGCACATTGTGTTTGAAACAGTGTTTATTTAATGTTTACATTGAACAGTTTAATTGACTTTTTTCATCATAGCCATGACTTCTTATGAAA